ATTCACTGGTTTGCTCCGATGAATGGCGCACACTACCAGCCTCAACTGAACAGCAAAAGGCTAGCCGTCCAGTCTAACTTCAACCATCCATCTTACTCTTTCGATTCTTTTCGTTTCATATTTTGAAAGGCGTACCGCATGATCTCGCTCAGAAGCCACTCTTCGAAGCCTTTCTCCGAATCTTCGAGATTTTTCCATGCATTGTTAATGTCCTAAAAATTACAAAGTTAGGCCTGGAAATCTATGATTCGTTCTGGGATATATGTACGTACCTTGACGAGATGTCCATCTCTCGGAAGGAATGCTGGTCGATTTGACAGCCGTAGACGAGTTTGAAGTGTATTGAACAAGGTTTCTAGACGTCCCTTGTCTTCGATTCGAGGAGGCTTCTCATGTCTACAAAGTATCGCCATCAGAAAAGTATAAATGCTCGCTACTACCGTCTGGCTGCAATAGAGCTTACCTTCTATAGTTACGAAAATCGTCAAGCTTCTTTTGTGCTTTCGACAAATTATCGTCAGTAGTTCGATTTGCCAACCATGGCATCCAGTGGTTAATCCAAGCTAGTAACTAAATTAACAAGCATTGTAAATAAGTAATCAGCCAAAATAAACAGTAGTACTAAATAGAGTGAAAAAATAATTTAAAAATAGAATAACTACTGACATCGCTGGCGAGGTGTTCGTACTCCTGCATCATTTTCTCATTCTCTTGGTTGACTTTCAACACTCGACAGATCCTATTCGCTGCTGTTTCCGCCTAAATTGGTGAGGTTGGTGAGACTAACTCAGGCTTCTCGAAACGTTCCCATTCACTGAACACAGGATCCTTCAAATGCTCTTGACTACCAAAACTAGCTCAATCAAACAATATTTAGGAACTTTCAATCAATTGATACTCCCTGATTTTTTATAAAAGACGGAGATTTTGAGCGGAATGCCCTAAGCACAGGACGTGGCGCATTCTGAAAAGGAACCGCTCTACCCTATTTGAGTGCGTCCTAAGCCGAAATAAAGTCAGATTCAGCGACTTTTGCTCATTTATAAGTCAAATATGACCAGCATACAAGGATCCTGTGTTCAATAACTTCAAAGAACAATTTCAGATTGAAGCTGCTATTCAGCCATTTCACACCACAACGACAACACCGGCATGAAAATCGTCTTTTCATTAGAAAGCTCGAGTTAAGAACGCTAGGCGCACAATAAACTGAGAATAAACAAAAACGTCCTTCGTCGGCACAGACCTTACGCATTCCGCTGAAATAGTGGTAGTAGCAGGACACATACGTCATGACGGCTTTCTCATCGGGGTGTGAGTTCACCATGTCTGAAAGAATCACCTCAAACAAGACAGAGATCGGTGTGAGTCCAGTGAGGCTGTATCGCAGCTGCAGTGGAAACGAAAACTGATTTCCTTGAAACAAGAAGGACACGTCGCAGGAACTGTGGACGAGTTAGTGTATCACTCGTTTCAGATTAGTAATCACCCATTTGAACATAGGTAGGCCATTTTCTCAGCATTTAGCTCACTCCACTGCATTGGCCACCAAGCGCTGCTTACTTCTTTACGCCAATCGCGCTCCGGCACTGGTTGCGCTCGTATTGGTGGCGGTAGTGAACGAACTTCCGGTGCATTACGGAATGCATGGTAAAAGCATGACACGTAGGTCATGATCGACTTCTCTTCCGGATGGTGGGCGACGTCTGATAAGTAAGTGGTTTCAGAACTACCAAATAAACAACGAAAAACCATTTTTCCTTTGCTCCAAACAACTTTGACTATGCTCATAGGTAAGGTCTAGGAAAGGGTTTCATTTCTATTCCTATATATTTTGTTAGTTAGGAGAAAAAAGACTACCTACAGTGAAATCGTGATTTCTATGAGTAAATATCTATGGTGCATGTTACTGGCACTATATTATAATGCTAAACGGATAGCAGGAAAGTCAGAAGTTGCATTCGGGAAAAGAGCTCAAGTGAAAAAAAAAGCATCACGGTTGATAGAGATTGGCTTTCAACAAAATCAGATTCTTAAAGTTTTTCCAGGCTTTTTTACTGTTCATCAAAAACTGAAGATGTCGTTCTGTTCAACGGCCAACTATAGTGGCCACTATAACTGCTGAATACAATTCAAAGCTCGTACCTTCTGCATCCAACATTCGTGGAATGTCAAGATGTTTCTCAGCTACATCAAAGGCCAGATTGAGATTGTAAATTGGGTCGCCCTTGTGAAGTTGGTAGTAATCAATCAGTTCCGGTCTGAAACATGACATTGCTTATTTCTACACAACTGCGACCTGAATGGAATTCAGAAGTCGTAGGGACGCAACGAGTATTGCAAAGGCATAGAGAGACAAGGAGCTAGGGCAACAGCATGCAGACTCCCTGTGAGATGGATTCCGCTTAAGTAGAGTTCCGTCACTCAGCAATGAAAATAAGTTAAGAGATTCTACCACGGCACCGAAGTTGGGACATGAAATCTTCACTTATGCCCCGATTTTCTGAATACACTGTTACCTTCAGGTCCTGGTTTCAATTGTTATTGCTATGCTCTTTGAAGGCGATTTCGGGAAATAATAGAGAAAAAACAAAATATTAATTTCCCACCTGTGCCTGTGGATAAGAGCACAGAAAGCAAGGCCATCTTTCCAAGAAGTATGGAAATTTTGAACATTCACATTGTTATACGGTGCTGTCTTACGTTGACACCACAGAAGCAGACCGTCACGAGCAGAGAGTTCTGAAAAGCAACAGTTTTTGTCAAGGGTAAATTGATAAATCAATAAAAGCGAGGATCCAATGTGAAAATCACAACCTTCTACGTTAATGTCCTGAATGGCGAAGCGAAGAATGATCGTCCAAATCAGACCCAACGTCATCTTCACGTTGCCGTCAACGATTTCTGCAACATAGGGGCTTACTATTCTCACAAAAGAAATACCAGTAAAAGTATCCCCAAGCAGTGTCGATAGTTGCTGCTCACACAGCCGGTAGACTGGATCTGCCTCTAGGCAGTTAAATCAACCATCCCCCTGGAGTTGAGTAAAACTTTCAGCTGAGCCTCTTGTTAGGTTAAAAAGGGGGGTTGATTTTTCTATGATTTAGTTCGGTAAAAGTAGAAACCGAAGTAAGAACTAACTATCCCACTGACCATTGTACAGTGCCGAACACTTTCTCAAGTCTGAGAAAAGGCAGGGCCATACCCTACAAAATAATGGACGATGACCATTTACTGGTGTAATACATTCTGTGTATTTCTGTCAGTGATATAGCACACTTGAGGCGCAACTTTTTTCATATTTATTTGAAGACAACGAACATGTGCTGTTTGGGTGGGTTCCCTCAGACCGCAACGCTTTCCCACTAGTAGGTGCCTCTCCCTTAACAGGCTTTGATGGTAGGTGTTCAATGAAACTAGATAAGCTGGCCAGAGGTGAGCCTTTTTATTGTTTCCAAAGAAATTTTTAAAGAGAATGAAAAAATGTTTTATGCCGACTCGATCTTGATAATACATCAGAAGACGCTGACAGAAAGATAAGTCTCATTCGTTTTCTGAACAAAAAAAAAGGCACAAACCTTCAGCTCCAATAGACACCAGCTTGACACCCTTGCTTTCGATGTACTCCAATGCCTTATTCACATTTGCAATCTTGTGAAAGCGCATCTTTCCGCGATCAGGGCGAGGAAGCGGTTCACCAGAGATCACTTCCAGCAAGAGCATAAGTTTCAGACCTTGAAAAATACTAGTTCAATACTAGAGATCTCTTCTTTATGAGTGGCACCTTGATTGAAATTTTCTGGAAGTTTTTAAAAGAATTTTTGCTACTGATCGTTCCACGATAACTATTATAGGAGGGCAATCTAATGATGAGTTCCAGTGTACAAGTCGTCTTTCTAGTTTGAACTACAGATAACTACTTTCACCTAATAAGAAATATAATATTCTTTGAACTTGAGACATGCTCAGCAAAGACGCTTCTTAGGGCTCCTCCACTATCGGATTAACGGCTGGTTACGGAATAACTCATCAAGGGTTGGGGTATTCAGAAAAAAATACTGTTGTAAATTACGAATCCTTATGATGATTATGATAAATAAGATGGATTTTCGTTTTACATTACTGGTCAAATCTTCCCACTTTAATCTTTTCAGTAGAGATTAGGAAAATGATGGAGAGTTTTCCCTCACGCCATCGTTTATATACTTCATCTCTCTTCCACCTCCTTCCCCTTACTCCTACCTTTTTCCATGTCCCAGTTATGCATATTTTGCACACTAATACACTGCCCTTTTGATCCTGACTGCCATTCGGATTACTGTGGCCACGAGCTCGAGGGCTACTGCCAATCACTTTACGATTATGACGGTAGGAATAAAAAACCGTCTGGAAATTCTTCTGTTTGATAGTTGGTGCATACCATGGGATAACATTGAATATGTACTTTGCCATATGGCCCCTAAAACTGCAATGATGTAACCCATGGCCAGGACGTTGTGTCTCTACGACAAAGTGCATCGCACAGCCTTTCCCTTTAAATGACTGTTACTGCGTAGGCGTCAAACTTGTTACAGTGAGCGATTAACTCAACAATGACCTTTTGAGGGCATTTAATCCTACATTCCAATCACTCCAAATCCAGTGTACCCCTAAACAGTCCAAACAGCCAGGTATGACCTATATTTGGTATTTCTCTGCAGCTTACAAAATAACCAAGCTCTATTCAAATCTGCGCTAAGATTAAGAAGAAACTGACCATTTCTAAAATCCTCCTCGATGAGTTCGATACTTGTGCCGGCTTTTCTTAGATGCGAATTACACCAAGCAGTGAATGTCTGGAACGGCGAACAATAAAAATACGGCGAGTAGGAGAGTCATAACAAACGGGAAATCGCTACGAAAAGATGTCATTCCATCATGCCGCAGCTTTCTATATTCTTCTGTAGGGGGTCACTTCTACAGGTTATGAATATATTTTGAAGGAAGGGCAATAATTATCCAAAAACAGCAAAAAAGTACGTTTAGTCAGGGAGAATCTTATCAAGACAGACTCCAGCTTCTCTTTCATCCTCTTCACCTTTGTGAGTTGATCACAACACATGACTTTTCAGAAGCCACACAAATTTCTTAATCCGTCCGATGTAGAAAGAACAAATGGTCAACAAACATTAGAAAAAAAGGGAGGAAGGAAAAGCCCCCAACGAATCATATACGAGTTCCCAATGAAAGCCTCAACCCACAGAAAAGGCGTTCCTTTGACCGAAAGCATAGTTACGCTTAGTTTGAGCTTTAGTAATGCGTGAACTTAATACTTTAGAGGTCACAAAACCATACCTTTTTCTGCTGTTTTTCCCAAGCCGGATCAAGCAGGCCTTCACGATCCCATTCTTCCTCTTGCTGCGTGTAATCGTATCCGGACGTCTGATGTTGGTGGAACGCCGGTTGAGCAGCGTAGTAGTCCACCATCGCCCAGGCACCTACAACAAAATGCATCTGACAATGAACGTGCATTGTTCTTTTTGACAACAAATTAATCGAAGACGAGGATGAGGGGATTGAATACAGATAGAAAAAATCGACAAATGGTGGCAAAAGAATAGCACAATAAGAGCTCACAGATGAAAACAGAGACGAATTAAATAAATATATCATTATTCACGTTTTCAATCCCGTGAAACAACAAAAGTTAGTGGGAGAGGGGAGTGGGAGTTGATGGCGGTGGAAGTGACGGGGAGGGAACCCTGAACTGTGTGGGCAGATAGAAAAAAAATTATCTTGTTACTCATCTTTGGGTCCTTCACAAAACTGTATAAGTGGAGAGGAGCATGGGCTAAACTTTCGAAAAGACTGCACTCCCACTCCTCCAAAACGAAACGAGCCCCTAGGATTAAGTCCTGAGGAACACCGGCTAGTGGGTGAGCTGCTTCAGCTCTTTCTGAAATAGAAATACTAACCAGCTGTACTCTTCCGATGTCATATTAACGCTCCACCTGTCTGCACTTTCGAGTAAGTTTTTGTTTCCAATGAGATAATCAAGATTCTTTTCCACTAACCCTCCTTCAGTGAAATGTTCATTCTATTATATAAAACTAGGAACAACGAAAAATTAGCGGATAAACAGGAGAATGAAAATGAACGATAAATTCCACAAGGTGATGGTAGTACGAGAATAATGTGAGATTTACTTTCAGTAGGCACGATTCAGATCATATTGGAATTCCAACGGGTCCACAAGATGATATCTAGTCGACGAATGTGATCAGATATTCAGGCCATCTGCTCAGATGCTCAGCTAGGACAGGGCTTAGGGAAGATTTACACATCCCTGACAGCCAAGGGACCTTGTGGCCCTAACAAGCAAAGGATAAACGCTCGAACGTGACACCCGCATCGAACCGAGCGACATTTAGTGCCCACAAAGATCTTCTGAGTAACTTTGGGTGCTACACCGTGACAAAACCGTGACGAATTTCGGAGCTGTTGCAAGTGAACCCATCGAGTCAACTAGGAATTCTAGAAAAATCAAACACGTCCGTGAAAATCTTGATAGGAAAATGGGGAATGAATCAGATGTGTCAAAGGAGTAGCGCAAACAGTCGGGAAAGATCGCTCGCACGTGATCCCCTANCAGATGTGTCAAAGGAGTAGCGCAAACAGTCGGGAAAGATCGCTCGCACGTGATCCCCTATCAGATCAGTCTTTCTCAGTCGATAGCAACTATGGTTTCGTAACCATCTAGGTTTCGTCTTTTCCACACCGTAATGGTTCATAATGTTGGTGGACTTGGATAGAAGTCCACCCCTTCAAATCCTTACTCGTTGATAGGTTTCCCTTGTGAAATATCGTATGATAAGATGTGGTAAAATATGATATTTGTTATGATATGATATAATATGATATGGAATAACAGAACAGAAGAGGGAACTGAGATATTCCTGATCGATAGGATAATGAACAGGTCGAAAAACCCGTGGAGGCCTCCCTGGAAACGGCGGTGCTCCACGACAAGAAGAGCCACTCGACAACAACGTAATCAAACAAAAGCGTGAAAGAACGCGGTAGTCTGAGTTGGACCGCAGTTAACCGTGAGACACAGACATGGTAATGAAGTACATAATTTGACTGGACCATTAACGTACAAGGACACTGCCACGGTAATTTCAGAGGGAACTGTCTATGGACATACACATAGGCTAGTCAAAGCGGGCAATTTAAAACAGAGGTGTTGGACGTTTGAGAGTTATCGCTGAATACTGAAGTATAATTTTGGAATCAATATTCTTGTGACGAATGATTAATTCAGTGAATTCATTACAGATAAGATAGGACAGGGTGTATGCAAGCCATTGTATGACTCCAGTGTTTCTATAATTCTGTGAGCTTCGCCGTCCTTCTGCATTCTCTCAGTTTCGTACAGAAAGTTTCCCAGGGCTGTAAGATGTACTGGAACTTATAATGCTGAGGTCATCCTTTCTGTAGTCTCTTAGCATCTCGATTTCGTTCATATGTCTCAGTCTTCCTTCGACTCTTGAAGCGATTTCATACCTAACCCAGACTTCACATAATCACTTTCTGCTGACGTCTGGGCTTCTCCCAACCTCTTCTGCCCACGCCTCTGTTCTTCCCTTTGAACACTACCCTTTTTCTGTAATAGCCTGATCATGGCAAATTTTAGTATCTTCTCGCTTTGTTGAGGAAACTGTTTGGCACATCTCTCTTCAATTTGGGTTTCCAAAAACCACTGACGGCATACTATGTAAAGTGTGCACAGATCTAGCTCGCATGCTTATACTTTAACAATTCCAGATGGGAACTAAATGCATTGCCAGTACAAAACAAAAACAGCCATTTGCTAAAGTTTTGTGGGAGGATGTGTAGGCACCTCATGAATTCCTTGAATAACTGAAGGTGAAATAAATTCAAGTTCTCAATGAGAGGGGGAGGATATCATGCTAACTGGACTGATTCGCTGAACTTTAAGCAGAAAGTTGTAAAGAGAGCTCGTTTTTAAGCACTTTCGTACCAGTTAACCATCAATCAAACCTCCTAGACACCACTGCTAAACCCATTGCACGATGCTTGCTATGCCATAAAAAAAACGTTTTCGATCAGATAAATCAACAAGACAACAACATTATTCATATAACACCTGCAGTATGTTGACATGGCATGCTGATAGACCGACAGACGTGAAGAAGAGTGTAAGGCACGATAGCATGCATGTAGGCATGCATCGATCACTCGTCACCACATAATATTACTTGATACAAAGGAAAAGAACACTCTAGGATCTTAGATGCAGAGGCAGGTTATCAAAGAGTGCTCGAAGAGATGAGAAGATGAGAAGGTGATAAGTTTTTCTGAAAAAAATTTCCTGGAATGCGCCACAAATTTGAGTGCTATCAACATAATGGATACACCTCCTACACATAAACTGGGGAGGGCTAGGAATGAGTTTCGACTGAATAATACATGCATCACAGGGGACAAAAACAACCCAGAATTTCTATAGGTAATCTTAGGTAAGTCGAGGATCATCAGCGATCGAAAGGAGTTGTTAGAATAGGGAAAAAATAAGAAAAACAGAAAAATCCAGCCAAAACAGTGTGTTGGTAATCGGTCCTAGTTAGTGCAGAATGAGCTGAATGCTGGAGGCGTGTGAGGAAACGACAGCGGATCAGTGTAATGCGGACTCAGGTGAAAAAACACAACGAGGAGGCGGATTGCAGATAATATGATACTCCTGAAACACCTACAGGTATCGATTTCTATAGATTTTTGTTGTTTATCCAGCTGTTACATCTATGGCTGTTTATGACCGATGAAAGTAATGGAAAACAGTTTCAATTGCCTCCTTTCAAATGCGCCAAAAATCCCATACTGATTTGGAATCATGGAGAACATGTTGGGGAAGTTTTGATGCATGGGATCAACCACAGAACCGATCTTATAAGGTTCAACATTTGTGGGAAGAATTTTTGCTTCCTTCCAAAGACTTTTGCTCCCAGATTGTCCCGAGCGCTCGGATGTCTTACTTCAACTTTACCAGTAAGACCAATCCCCTAGGTTACATTCGGGTCCTTTCCAGAGTGTGGTTACAAAGAGTAGTACACTGGAAAACGATAGAAATAAAAATTGCAATTGCATTTTAAACCAAACCACAAAGATATGAAGTCGACATACCATTGTCGTTGTCATGAATCAATTTAATTGGGATGCACCACACACTTCATTTCCATTGATGATAGAGACATTCGAGCAGGTGTATTCAATGTATAAATACAACCTGTACAAGGCGGTCAATATTAGCAAAGGGTGAAGAAAGGTACATGGAGGTCCTAGAGGTGCAATGAATAAGCACAGTGCCCGAAACGAATGAATGCATGGTCATACGATGTTCGAAGCCCGAATATTTTGCGCATCAGTGAACGTGAACACATTTGCATTATGGACTGAAATGGAACACATCGGTTCTCAAACAAACCACCTCGGAGTGGAGGGAAGTAGACGTAATCCTGGGGATAAAACAACCGGTAGACCTGTGGGGTGGCAATAGGCATCACTGCCACGAAATCGCTGGTCCTACAAAATGGCAAAAACTGACTAGCGACGCTGTGGTAACACTGCCTGTTGCCATGTGCCGGAAACTTCACAACGGCTAACTTGCATGCTTTTTTTACTTGAGGTCGACACATTTGTAGCTGGCTCTTTGGATGCAAAGTCCAGCACGCAGTATGAGCATTACACCGACTTTACATTTACCCTATAGAAAGCGAAAACGGTAGCAATTTGAGTAATATGACTATGCATGACTCAGCATAATTGATTTTAAACTGAAAAAGAAGCCCCCATCAAACGGTTTTTTTCAGAATTAAATCAGAAGTAATGACGCGGTTTTCCTAACCGGCGAGGTGTAAAGCGCTATTTGAGGCAACTTGTGCGTCACTATTTGCTAAACTGATACGCTAGGAAAACAATTTACTAAAAGCTTCTATCCCAGCGATAGTCTAAAAAAATGCTACATTCAGCTGCAGCAATTAACTAATAGGATAAATCACGAACTATAGAATTTTTTTGTGATACCACAGTTTTGAGAAAATAGTGATAAGAACAAAGTACAAAAATGAGAATACTGAAAAAAATAAAAGAGAAAAGAGCACACGCATGTTATGCCCATATCTCAAAAACACTTCCATGTCAAATGAGCGTAAAAGGGATGGCGACACAGTTAAGCGGATCAACGATGAGCGCTCGATGACTGCACCCGAGATCGGATATTCTGTGATAACCCTACTAAAAACGATTTAATAGAGGCCTGATGAATGGTGAATCATCTGAAAAAACCGGAATCGATACCGCGATGTCTCTTTGAACTGGGAAATCAAGAAAAAGTCGGTAGAGTTATTTATCATAGGTGACCAGGATAT